GAGAGAGAGAGAGAGAGAGAGAGAGAGAGAGAGAGAGAGAGAGAGAGAGAGAGAGAGAGAGCTCGGTGGAAGAGAGAAGACGGCGACACAAAGGCCACACCCACGTCCACATCAATCCTATCACCACCTCCCATCCTGCCTCGCGCCTTCCAACACGTGCACGTGCACGTCGATCAAATCAGGACGTCCCATCCTGCCTCGCGCCTTCCACCCCCAGTCCTTTCTTTCAGCTCCCCCACGGCCCCTCCAGTCGCGGCTCGCGCCTTCCCGTTATCCAAATGGCACTCCCGCACCCCCACTTTGCCGGCTCCCTTTTTTTCCCCACCGCCTTCCTTTTTTTTTGCGCTCCCGGGCCTTGCCGTTTTGGGCCCGACTCCGGCCGCGCCCCTTTTTTGCCCTGCTCCTGGGCCCGCAATCTTAGCCCCGGCGGTTGTTTTCCCAACACTGGAAACGGTGTCTCGCGTGAGGCGATAGCGTGAGACCCACTATTTCCTTTAGGAGTATTGGGGATGAGAAATTCGAATTTGAATGAAATCATGGCATTTCAGTCCAGATTTGGAACCTTCTGAAAATGAGTCTTCTTTATCTTGCCTCCTCCTCTTACCTGAGAAACGCATTTTATTTCTAAATTGGCTGTCGGTGGGTATAATGCCCTGATCATCTTTATGTAATATAAAGCCTGAAATATGTGCCTATCTTCACTGATGTTGAGTTCTGATGCTTATGAGCTTGTTCCTTCTCTCTGTTTTTGGCCCTGTGCATGTGCCTGTGCACGTGTGTTTGTGTGTGTGTCTTTCCCCATGTCCATGTGCATGTGGCCTCTGATTCATGGCATTTTTTTACACATATGTGGAATGCAGCGGTGCCAATGGTGGAGGCAATGGCAGCTCTTGTTCTTGTAGATCAGCTGATGCAGCAATATGCGCAATGTCACATCTTGACGGATGCGGTAAATCTCCAACAGCAGCATACGGTATCACCCCCTGAAAGGAGGATGACAATTGCAGATGAAGCTGCTCTGTATAGTGAGGGTTGAAGTTCCTTGGCCGTCTTTCCTCAGGGCTCGGCTTTTCCATTTCCCACTTTTCCAGGTGATGTTTCCGTGCTTCTGCTCCGTACTTCATGCTCACCGATGTTGCTCTCTCCTGAGATTGACACTACATATTCGGGAGGGTAGCAGCAGTATGTAGTCCCGTCGGGCTTGCTATTTTTTCAAATTGACTGGCTTATCACTCCCTCTACTGACCTCCACGGCTAGAGTGAATTCTAAGAGCGTTCTCTACATAACGGCTTCGATTTTGTCCCCGTGTTCATCATTTTAGGCGATATGAAATGTTGCAATTGTGTACCATCTCTCTCTCTCTCTCTCTCTCTCTCTCTCTCTCTCTCTCTCTCTCTCTCTCTCTCTCTCTCTCTCTCTCTCT